TGCACACATCAGTTGAATGACATTCCCTTCTTCAGCAGGACATTGATCACTTGCACACAGACTTTTCCAAATGGTTCAATGGAATAACAACAGGTTTGGTACAGAATTTCTGGAACTAAATACTGTAATTTACCAGTGTAATCATCACATAAATCCCACCATCTAGCAAAATGAAAAATGTGGCATTCAGACTCATGGAACTAGAAAGAAAATTGTGCAACAAATGCATGAGCTGCAGAGATTTTCTTCTGAATGTTTAAACACAAATAACAGAGAGATCTGAGGCTTGCAATGACAGAACATTATGCTCCAAGGTGATGTACTTCAGTTAGGAAGATTCTTTGGTTTCACCTGGCAATCAGAGTTATTTGAGTGTCTGTTTCATATTACTTAACGTCTGATCTTTCCTTGGCATGAATAATCAGACAGTAGTTCTACAGCTTAAACAATTCCACCAAAACCAACTAACAGTGGGTCACAAGTAAATGGCATTAAAATTGCAAGAAATCCAAGAAAGGAAGACAATGAAATTCATGAGGCATTTGTACACCTAGAGCAAACACATAATAGAAACAAGTGTAATTAAAGCAGAGTCACAAGGGAAATCAAAGACAGAATATAATCTTCTCTATAATTGCTAAGTATTAGATTAGTAAAGACCTTTGCCATTTGTTTACATGTTGACAGAAAGTTTACAAATATAATCCAAAACCAGAAACTATCTTTGTTTGTTACAACTGCAGCAAGCATATAAAAACAAAATAAAATTGGCACACCAAAGACTGAGCCAGGAGAAAGATGGTTGACTATGCTGTACCTGTTGGGAAGACTTCAGGTGTTCTTCCAGGCTAGACTCAGCCCAGAGAGAAGCCCTTAGACCATCAAAGAGACATTGGGATAACCATACCTGGAGCTTCTCAGATTTAGACATACAGATCCTGAGCCTGAAATCTTTACTCAAGCAATACCTCATAATGCAGTACAATTGTTATGGTAAATAAATGGTATCAAACACTGCTGAACACAATGGAAACACTCCCCGTTCCTTGCTACAGACAGGATTACACTCATTGGTCTATGTGGGACTGGGCTACTCCAGGGGAACTGCAGCTCAGAAGAGCTGCTAAAAGCCCTCCTTGGCCAGCTGTAACTCAGTTTTGATCCTGCTCATGCACAAGGGCAGATGCACAGTTGAGAAGTCCGAGACAAGGAACAAATTCTCTTATTTACAAGGGTAGAAATCTAAAGTGGTATCAGCAGAGTAGAAGTCCACAGATTCTGGTCAAACCTTTTAATTTGAGAAATAAATAAAATCTTTAGACTACAAAAGCAATAGAACATGGAAAGAACTGACTATGATAAAAAACCCAGAAACCATGCTCCACTGTCATCTTAGGACACAATCCAGCAAGGCACTTGGATAGATGCTTAGCTTTAAAACAGAATCAAAGCTATTGAAGTTAAGCTTTGCTGGATATGGGATATCTTTTTCTGAGTTGTGTTACTTTGCAGTGTTAGTATGCTGGCAAATTTCAGATCACACTAACAGTTTTCTCTCTCACATACACCAGCTTTCTTTTCACTCTTGAGCTGAACATTAACTTACAGAACATTGTGACATACATTCCAAACTCAGCCAGCTAACTTTTGCAATGGTTAATGAAACAAAATATCTGCAAAATTTTATAGATACAATCCAAACAGCTGCAATATAGAACTGTGCTAACAATGGAGAGCCAAGCACAATTCATTCCTTTTCTTGACTAGAAAATGGCAACATTTTTAATGGCTTCCTGACCACACAAGCTAATGTTTGTTTGGTTGGGTTTTTTTTTTTTTTAATACATGTGAAAGGCACTAGTCTGCTATTACTGGGCAATAGCCTCCTGAATTACTGATACATTCTGACATGGGTTTATCTGCAATAAAACAATTTGTCAATCAGATACTTCTTGGACCATTTAGTTTACCTGCATGGCTTAGTGTATAACTATTTATTTTAGCATATGGATAAGGACTACTTAGGAGCTTCTTAAAGTACTTCATATGGTTATGCGCCACCAAAGCCCTGATACAGCATCTCATAATTCTTTGGCAAACAATACATCCTTGGTCATGTGGTGGTGTCAAAGGAGAATCCTACTAATGTTATCTATAATGATAAGCACGGCATGATACAGGTCTCATAGCAGTAGATGAGAACACCCCATGAAATGCAGCATTAGAATTCAATACAAATTGTCATTAAGTGAGTTTATGTTTCAGGGAGAGCTGTAGATGACAGGAACCAGACACATATTGTAAGGGTTGTTCTGGATTCTGAGACTTTTTCTGCTAAAATACAACACTGGTTTTCTGGAGCAGGTGATATTCAGATTGTGATATTCAGATTCAGCAGGCAATAGGCAGAGTAATTTTAAATGATGTGTAAAAGATTTAGGGAATTAGCAAACAAAATTCATGTATATTTGGGCAGAAAGCCAGCTGCTACAGAAAAAAATTGTGCCCATACTCTTCTAAAGTTTCCTGGCTCAGAAATATGAAGGTACAATACAATTTTCTAGATCTGGCACTATAAACTTTGATGCCCTCATTCCTGTCAACTCAGCTGATCACTATGCATTCAAAACCAGACTTTGGAACTACTTTTCTATTATGTAAAGACAACTGAGCTCCCTGAACTGTGCATAGCAGAGCAAATATTTGCTTGCAGTTCTCCAAGATCATAAAAACAGAATATAGGAAAACCCCAATTATTCAGCCTCTCTCTCTGCTCCTTTCAGTCCCATATCTAAGTCATCACCAGATTTTCAGCAGTAAACTGTCCTCCTGAAAGACAGCAGGGGAGAAGGGAATACTAGGGAGTGATATTCCTACAGTGGTGCAGCAGTATGCTGCATTTTCAAAGCCTTTCTGCAACAGAAGACTCCAAGGTGAACATGAATTTCATCTCCTCAGCTTTATACTGCACCAAAAACGTCGTGAATGCCTGTAAATGGGGTCATTGGCATACTTGAGATAAAATGTGTTTAATGCCATTCTTGACTATTTAATAAAGCATTTTAGTAATTCTGTAATTGTGTCAATCTTTAATTCTTAGCTTAATGACGAGCATTTAATTAAGGTAAGAAACCCTAAATGGATACTAATACTGACATTTGTAACAAAATGAAAAGCAAATAACAAATGTGTTGCTCTTTTTCTCTTTAAAATCCATTGAATGGACCCAATTCTTAAAAAAAAAAACCACCAGCAGCAGCATACACTCTTTAATTTATTCTAAAATAATTTTTAAAATCATTTTAGTTGTAAACTCATTGCCTGGTGTAAACAGTATTCTGCATGTCAGCTGGCTAAACATAATTATTTGTCATATATGTCAAAAGAAGGAACTTTCTGAGTAAGTGCTTATTTGCTAAGTTTTTATAATATATTCTCATTGACACAATTTTTTATATTTAGTCTTAATGGAAAATATTAATACATTTAAAAACACATCAACTGTTAGTTGATAGGTTTGGTTTGGTTTATAAACATTAAAAAATTTTAAAAATCTATGTATAAAGGTAACTGTGCTTCTTTAGAAACTTTATGTGATCATTCACATAGAGCTTCAAAATATTTTTAAAGTTTAGTAGCAATTCAAAATATGCTGTCTCAGTGATTTACAATTATATCACTGCTAAATTGTGGAATGTTACCCGCTATTCTAGTACTCTGGGCTGGATCTTTCTGTCAATTATATCCAGAGTAATTCTTTATTTCAGATTTGTGCTGGTGGAAAGGATATCAAAACTTGGCTTCTACTCAGGGTTAAAAAGAAGTATATCATGCTTCAAAATTTGCATGCAATCAAATCAAGGACCATATTCTCTTGACAGACTTGCTTTTTTCAGGGTGACTCTTATCTGCACTGCTCTGTGTCAGACATTCATCTTCATTAAACTTCTGAGAATAAGAAAAAATGGTAAGAATACACCAGCTTCTTGACTGATGAAATAAGCTTCTTCCTCTCACCAATCAAACTGAATCAAACCAAATCATAATCAGGGTGGGTTTTGTTGTCAGAAAGTCTGGATTACGTTCAGCTACTACTCCCAGCTGTTAACAATAACTGATAGTTACCGAGCACCCAGTTATATTTTATTTCTTTAGTTTCTTCTAAATGTACACAATGGGCTTACAACGGCCAATGAAAAGTTTGGGTTTTTTTGTGGTGTAATATTCCACAAATGTCAGTTTATATCTATGTATACAGCATTCCTCATTAACAATAAAACATATTTTTCAAGTATGAATTTCTGCATGTAAATTCTCTTCTTCAGTATGCAGTTACTCTGACTTCTAGTGTGCATCAACACAAGTGATACAACATACAACCATTTCCTCTTCTTTCTCTGCCACATTGTTCATTGAACAGAGTGATATATATCCAACATTGCCATCAAAAACTGTCAGTGCAGTTTCTCTATAAGCAGAGCACTTGAAGGGGGAAATGATCCTCAACAGTGCATGCCATGATATGTGCCTTGGACTTTCTCGTCCTGTAGTTTAAATATTCTGACTGAGCCAAGAAAGGTTCTGAACTTGCCTCTTATCCTTCCATGGAAAGTAAATGTCAAAACCAAAAGAACAATAAAGATTTTTCTCCCATCCTCTTGCTAACCCTCATGGTGGTGGTTGATTGTCTGCAGAAGGAGAAAGAAAACCACAACAGAATGCCCAGAAATGGGTCCTTTTAGAGTTCTGTGTAAGATCCATGGTGCTTTATGATGGAGCAGCAATATCCAAAGATGAGGAAAATGCTTTGGTTGCCTTCAGCTAGCATGTTAAAAAAAAGGTATGCTCTCCTTCCATATAGGTAAAAGTGCTTCTTAGCTGATTAAGCAGGAATGACACTCAAATTATTGATGGAAAGAAGGTAGAAATGTGAAATGCCTCCTGTCATTTACAGCATGTGTCATCAGAAGAATTTCAGTGTCTCTCCTTGTTGCGGTTTAAAGTTCTTCTCGGCACATAGGGAAGTTGACAAAGGTGAAGACATTGAACTCGATCATTATAGATAAACACAGGAAAATAGCATAAAGAAGCAACACGTAGATGCCTAACTTCCTGTCAAGTTTCCACTTATTTACATGGATTCCAAACACCTGCAAGCAAACAGAGTGTCAGTTAATAAAGTTCTGAAGGAGACTTTTGGAAACAACCATTATAAGCTAAAAATGAGAGTCTTTTGAATTAGAGGTCTTACAGGAAGAAAAAATATATTCTCAATACTCTGTAGATCAGAAGGCAACGTACCTTGTTGACTCGGCTCTGAGTGGCAGTTGTCCTACGACTGTTTTACAAAATATTCAATGAACTAAACTAAATTAATGTCCCTTCCTCAAGTGTTCCTCTGCAAATCCTTTATGTCCCAGTAGTACACCAGCACCTAATGCCCGTTCTTTCAACAGCTTCAAAAGAGGTGCTGTACTTGCTTATTTGCTGAGCTCCAGAACTAAGGGGTTGCAAGTTACAGGTAGCAAAGCAACAAAGTCCTCATGAAGGCATCTGTTTTCCACGGTGTTCAGTGCCTCTGAATTATTATTTATTTTGCTCAAAACTTTCCTCTGCGTTTGCTGTAGGAGGGTCTGTGCAAATCAGGGTACTCAGCAGAACAAATGAGACTGTAAAAATGCCTCAAACTCAGGTGATCTGGCTTCTGCTACGAAAAGACTCTTCAGAAAAGCATGAAGGGCTAGCACAGTAATGCCTTTGCATAATCCTCCCACCTTTTCCCCAATGCGCTGATTAACAATATGCATGCAGCAACACCAGAAAACAAATGTGTACAGAACACGGGTGCTGTTTCACAGGCACTGTGCAGTATGGCAGGCTGGGGATAAGGAATGAAAAGAACACGTTCTCACACCTTATAGATCAGATAGATTAGGAAGTTAGCAGCAGAGTGAACAGCCCTGGCCATTCTATCACTTAAGGCATGCACAGGTGATGTGAAGCTTTAAGGCTTAGTCATGCAACAGTGTGAAATCTCCAGTGGTAACCACCTCCTCTACAAAGCCTCCACAGGCAATCAGTGAAAGATGTTAGTGTAAGTGGATATTTTTATACCTTTTTGATTCCTTATACCTGATTTGATTCTTCCTACAGAGCGTTCCCTGGGAGTCAAGCAGGAACAAACCTTAAGTACCAGCAAAATTGACTTTTCAAACATAATTATTGTTTCACCTTTACAAGTCATGTGTAACAGGGGTGTCTTATGCTGAGTCACATTTAGCATGTCTCTTCCATGTCCTGGGGTTCAGTGCTCACAGACTAGTCTTCACTAAGTGTTTAGGCTACAGCACTTGATTTTGGCTGGTTTTGGAAATCAGAGACAAGGGCAAAGGTGATGAAGCACAACAGGTCTTGTCTCAGCCTAGAGACAGGCTGGGGGTATGGACACAGGACCACAGAAGTACTGTTGGATTCAAAAGTTTCAACACTGCCACTGAAATCCATGGGACCTACACATATCCAGCATCTCTTGCACCAAATGCCAGATTGCAGTCCTCACTGAGGACGATCGTAGCTCTTCCACCCATGGTATTGCTAGAAGAAATCAATGCAAAGTATTTCTATTTTATCCTTCTGTAACATGTAAATACCTAACAAGTATTTTCAAATTGAAAGACTTGTAGATGCTCTAATACTTACAGTAAGTGCCACTGATCCTAGCAAAAGTGCAACTGAATAAACCAATCCTTTGCTGTTTATTCTGACCTGTGGAAATCAGAAAATACTTTTAAAATGCTGGCCATATAACTGTACTTTGGAGATCAAGAATCAATTTACTGATTTAAAGTCCACCTTTACTCATTTAAAGTCCAGGCTTTGAACAGTGCCTTACATATTTTAAACTATGCAAATCCATGACAGATGTATCCTAATGAAGAATGGGAAGATTAAGGAATCAAACCAAATGTAAAGTAATCCCATCTCCATTAAAAAAAAGAAGTGAGCATTTATAATGGATTTTATGTAAAAAATCCTCAGAAGAGAGAGATATGCTGTTATTCTGGTCTTACAAAAATACTAAAGTACATGGAGACAGGTTTACTGGAAGTTGTGCAGTAAGAAAACGAAAGAGCCACGAAGCATCCATGGAATAGTTTTCTGCTAAACAGTGTAATGTACTCCAGCTGACAAACTGGAACTCTTTGCAGCTTGTGGAAGAAGAATTACTTCCTTAACTGGGTTCCTTGGCAAAGCAATAACCCCTTATTTAGCAACTAATAACATGATCAACAGGTTGGTTTTAAATTTGTTCTATTTGCATGCTTTCTTTTCAGGATTTTTTAAAAACAGAAAAAAAGTGCAAATGTAAGATTTGCCAAGTATACATACAGTTGATCCATAATCGATCGCCATGGTCTGCAAACCCCATGGAACACCAAGTCCCACCAGAATGTCAAAGACATTGCTCCCAACTGTATTGGATACTGCCATGTCACCAAGGCCTGCAGAGAAAAAAAATCAAAAAACAACTCTTTGATAAAATCAAAGTATATGGCCATTACTCAGTGCACTGGAGGAAACCAAAGGGGAATGATCTGCATTGATCCAATCCCCCTTGAACTGGCCAGAATATCTGAGGTAGTGAGGTAGGGAGACAATTTTCATAACATTGGCCTGGCTTCTGAAAAAAAAAGTGCAACAATTGCTCACTCCAACTACACCTTCCTGGTGCCTTGCAAAGCCTTTATAGGGTGTGTGGGAGCCATGCAGCACCCATGGTCTATGCCAAAGTCTTGTTCTAGGTAGACTGCAGCCACAGGGAGCCTGAAGATTATGTACTGGATTTAGTATGTGGATATGCGACCTTTATCTCATGTGAGTGAAAAGAGATCCTGAAAACAACCAAGAGATAATAGTCAAAGATCTTATGAACTTCCACGGGGCTTAATCAGTAATAATTTCACTTCAAGAACAGTAAAATACTACAGGAAAGGACAAGAAAGGTAAATAGTGGTAAAGTAGTAAGTATTATTCAAAATCTACTTCTAATGCTCACCAGTGGTTGGCATCTCATTCTGCACCAGTCTCAGTGGATATGAGGAAGGCAAAATTCTTTCAGTCCCTGCTACCTTCCCTTAGACCTAACTAGCCTAACTATTCAATCACTTCCACTAAGTGAATACTGGAAAGGAAGGAAATGAAAAGGAAGAGGAACTCTGACATAAATTGAATGTGTCCCAAATATAGTTTCAGAGTAAACAGAGTAGAGACAGACAGTACCATACCATAAATACATGGATGGTAGTGTCCATCCATGGATGGTAGTGTCCGTCTATACCTGTCTGCATTCTGTCAGTGAACAACTCTCTTGAATTCAAGCACTGCAGAGCCCCTGTACTGTCTTTAAGGGCATTGGGCCCCTTTTTGTCAATCTAGTGTTTACATTAATTTTCAGAGCAAACTATCGTTGCAGTGTTTTTGTCTAGTACAACAGAAGAACTAATCTAAAGAAGTAGTCTGTTAATTTAAAAATGCAACATTTTCCTCGTTCTTGGAAAAAACTTTTCACTTAAATTAATACATATGCAAAATTAATTTAGTAGGAAGGTGGTTCCATAATAATTCTGAAGCTTTTGTTGTACTGTTTTTGTGAGAATATTCTGCACACAACAAATAATGAAACATGGAAAATTATATACTTCGAATATATAGCACTTTTCAAGCAAGCAACATTTAGCAGCACTACTCCTATTTCAGATTACAAAGGTGGGGCTTTTGAATACTTATTTTATCATTGAAAAGCCCTTGTTGTTTGCCCAATGATGTCTGCAGGAGATGTGGATGTCTGCTGATGTCTGTGGAGATGTGATTAAAAAAAAAAAAACGCTATAGGAATTGAAATAGTGGAAAAGAATAAAATTAGGTCTTTTTCTTATTCTACTGTTGGGCAGAGGATCACACTGTCAGCTCTAATGCTTTTCAACAACTGAAAGGGATGCTGCTACCAATGTTTTACAAATAAAAAAATGAAGCATAACGAAATTTAAACTAAATTTAAAGATAAATAAGAAAGCCTTTGACAATTTCAAATGGACAGCTGAGGAGGATGTAGATGTCAGTAATCCAAAACTCTTTCCAGTGCAGCTATTCATATGTTCCAGTGGGAAAGAGATCTGCATTTGAATGAGAACCCTGCCTGGAGCAACAACACTTCTGCCAGATCCTCTCAAATCACTTCACTTCCTTGGATTTGAGAGGTCTTCTAGCAATCAGTACAAGCTCTACATAGAGAAGTGCTGGTCAGTATATATTCTTCAAAGTAGTTTTTATTATCTTATATTCTAGTTTTGTCTATGACTTTGTCTTTTTACCCTGACTCATACATTCCATGCATGGGACATCTGAGGCTGAATTACCTTCTAGAACGCTAGAATGCCCCATCCTAATACGCAAAAGATAATTTTTGATACACAATAATTAGCAAACTGTTTTGGCTTTTAATGAGGTTCTGAAACAGTAAAAATTAAAATAAAATTATAAAATTGCATTGACAATCAGTGTGTATGAAGGAAGCAAATCACAGAGCAATATGTAACATTGCAGCTACGCTTCAGCAGACACAGTACCTTGCCTTGCTACTATCAAGCTGGCCATGCAGTCTGGGACACTCGTTCCTGCAGCCAGAAAAGTAATGCCCATGATCACATCTGGTATCCCAAGGGTGTATCCAATCACAGTCACCTGAACAAGGAGGAAGGCAGATTAGCTTATCATATTTGGAAAGTCTCCTCATTCCAATACAGTTGTTGCATACTCTTAACTTTGATTTCTGGTGTGGACTCTAACAGGAATAGACTCAGAATACTTATCCATTTCTGCAAATTAAATACTGGAATAACCAGCCTAAAACCAACCCTGTGCAAAGGAAAATTCTTTGGGTCTTAATATTCAACATTCTATGGACAAACAAAATCTCCATTTCCTGTTGTACTAACATGACATACTGCTGTTTTGAGCAGATACAGCAAAATCAGTGGATTTGGTTTTTTTTTTTGTTTCCAAAACTGCCAAGATTCTCATTGGTTCTATTCTCAAAAGGACTGCAACCAATATTATATTGTAATAAAGTGGCAGAGATATAAAGAACTTATTATAACCTAACACATGAAGAAGGAACTACTTTCTTGTGTGACTTCTCATATAATCCTGAAGTGAGCATCCTCCAGATGCAGCTTGAAAAGACTTAAGGAATCACTGAAGATTGCAGCAGAGCTCTTAGAAAGGACAGGGAACTGTATTTTAACTGTATCCAAAGAGGGCTAAAAAAACATCAAGAAAAGGCAGCTGAAAAGGAAACAGGCTTGTGAGAGTGAGAAGACTGAACCAGGGACAGACAGTTGTTTCCCTGCTGAGACTGCTAAGGATGGAAGTCTTCTAGGCTATGTGCTGTTTTCTTGAAACAGTTTGCCAGTCTATCACATGAGGAAAATTGGACCTTACACTTAAGAAAAGGTGTATTTTAGAAACTCAACTGACACACCTTATCTCCAGGGGCTAGCAGAGGTCCAGGAATAGAAGTCAGCATGATTCTCTTGCTGAGACTGGTAACAAGGTACTATGGCCCAGCTGCCTCTTAAAGCATTATGGGCTGCACCCTTAATGAGCACTTCTCTCATTTGTGAAGGGAATATCTATATATGGAACCAAGCTACAGAGGATGACCTTCCAAAGGACATATAATATGATACAAATGTGTGGCTTTGACTGGCAAATTAATTTCTTAGGCACGGTGTATGTTAGAGGATTGTTTTACAATGCAAAAAATATATAGAAAGTTGCAAAAAGTATACAGAAAGCACAGTCTTTCATGAGAGGAAACATAAAGTGATTTTCAAATGCCTGACAGGCAATTGAAAGAAGTAGAGATGTTCTCCACTACCTTCATGTACTGTATTGTGCCCTATACAGTAAAGACCCAATTATTTCTGCAGACAAAAAAGGCAGCAAAAAGATAAAATTATAATAATTATTGTATGAGCTGGAGAGACTGCACTACAATTACATGCCTTTCTTTGAAAAATGCACAGGAGATTTTCACATACTTTGAGATGCACATTTCGCTCAGTATGAAGTCCTGCTACATACACTTACCATCCACACCATGAAGTAGGAGAACAAGGCAATCCAGAGAGTGGACAAGATGAATGTCAGCATGAAGAACTTCTCCCAGCGTGGTTTGCTGCAGTTTGGAATTGTGGTAAACAGCAAGAATATCAATGGCCATGTCAAAAGCCATTTAATTTTGTTCATTTTTCCATCTGCAGGACAAAGGAAAGAAACAGTTGAGCTTTCCCATCATTATCCCAGGCTCAGTTACACCTCTTTGAGCAGAGCAGATGATCCCAGAAGGATGTTCACAACTGTGCATGAGAGCTCATTTTCCAGGGTACCTTTCAACTATACTTGGCCTTGTCACTTTCAGCCAAGTTCTGCATGCTCATGCAGAATCTTCTTATAGTTACATCTGCCAAGATCTATGAAAATCCATGGAAGAATTACAATGATTTAAAATCACAGCTGATATTAAAAGCAAAATTAAGTCAAGTAGTTGCTCTTTTAAATGTATTACTACACATCCAGAATTAAAAAAACCCCCAACAACAAAACCAACCAACCAAAAAACCCCTCTCATCTTAATAGAAACATCGAAATCCAAGTGGTCAAAATAACTTGTACATTCTGTGCAGCAACAGAAAACAGAGGCACCAGCCTATGAACATGCCAATTTTTTTTACATGCCTTATTGTTCTAATTTGGACAGAAGTTGAAATAAACTGATGCTTAATACATCTAGATATGTTTACTCTCTCTGTCTGCATATAACACCACCTTGAAATGGTAAAAGAAAACTTCTGGAAAAAGAAACAAGGGAGTGACCTCCCTTGTACAGCTCTCCAAAATCAACTGGTGAGAAATACCCAAGAATTGTCATCGCTGAAGACTGGTACACACCTTGTCATTTGTTTAAAATTTACAGTATTGCAAAAGTAATCTCAATACATAAAACAGAATTATTTTATAACTGGGACATAAGTAAATGAAATACTATTTATACAGTTAATGAAGCATCCTTCAAGCAGGATGACGAATTTGTTTATCAGGCTAAGTGAGTGTATCACAACCAACATCATGGCCATTTTGGCTTGGGTTTTCTTTACATGGTGGTTCCATTCAAGTAGGGGTTTCCATCATTAACTCATGATGCTACGCTTGAGATCAACTAAAATATGCTGTTTTGAAAAAAAACATTGATCACATTGAAGGAAAATCATCAGGTACATCTTCCAGGGAATTTATTTAGCTACATTAAAAAGAACAGTTACTAACCAGCTCCTATCAATTTCACCAGTAATTTTCTTTTGGCAAAGACTTTGGGATTTAAGATGTGTTTAACAGGAATTATTATTAGTGATTTTAATTGGATTGAACTCAGTTGTCTTGACCAATGTGCACCAGGATGCAATGAAATTTAATATTTAACATTTAGAAATTAATAATATTTTTATCATTTATGAGGCTGCTTACTAGTCTAATTTAACTTGCTGAGTCCAAACATCTTTATTAATTTACTTTTGTATATATTCTAGAACTATATTTTCTTGCTTGAGTTAAGAAACAGCTTTCTAACTTGAGATTTCCTTGTGAATTTTGAGATGTCATCAACTCACCAGGAAATCTTAGACTAAGCTTTGCTCTTTAGTCCCATTTATAGCTTCTGGCTGTGGAATTTCTAATGCATAAAACTACTGAAGTGTCCCAGGGTCATTTCTAATTCTAGACTTTTACATGTCACTGAGGAGCTATCACAGATTTTACAGAAAAGACTTTTTCTCCCTGCTTACATATACTTCTGCACAGATGTTTTTAAAAATAGTTATCTTTTACCTGTTCTGTCCAGGAAATTACACTTCTTGGCTCACTCCTCTCTTTAATTGTTAACAGGGCTGTAAATATTCTATGAAACATCCTATGGTAGTTTATGCCTCCTCCTGTTTAATTTGTTACAGTTTGGATTACTAAAAGACCCCCAGATAGTTAATTTTTACTCTGTGTACTGAAGTTTCCAAGCTTGGTTCATAGTCCAGCAAATCAGCATGGCCTAGACCAGTAACATCTTCAGCACATAATCCCAAATGCAGGGTCAGTGGATGACTGATTGAAAAAAATGTGGATCCAATTCTGATCTGTGTGGGTGTAATCTGACTGACTTTGGTGCTGCTACACATAGGCAGTGACATTTCTCTTTTCAGTAACATAGATAAAAGAAACAGAATTGCCTTAAGAACAAATAGAGCCTCTGCTGGGGAATACATCTTGTCTGGGATCCTGTTTAGTATCCTGAATTACAAAAACAAATACTTAACTGAGAATGCATAGTGCCATACCACTGGCACAGCTATGTTTTTTCATTTCCCAGAAAACCTAATTACACGTGGAGGAGGGCTTGCCTTTCCATTATCTTTGCTGAGTTTGAATGGATGTGTGTCAGACTAAAATTCCTGGCTCTATTAGTGGTGATGTTTTACCCACACAATGTCTTGAGTTGAAGCTGTTTAGTTAGATGGTTTGTGGGAGGGACATTTGCATTCATTACAGGCTTGAGACTTTGGGGAAGAGAGGTGTGTAATTCTGGGGTTTGCTGGGTTAACAAGAGAAGTCGATTGGCCATTTGCAGTTAGCCTGAAATAGCTCTGAACCACCACAGCCAAAGCAGCTTACTTGACACATTCTACATCGTCTTCTGTTTTGTGTTTTAGTTTTCTAGCTTTTATAAACTTTTATATAAAGCCTTAAGTACATCTGGCCTTGGTTTACCTCAGGCCTTTTCATTCAGCTCCTACTCTTGTGGGTCATGGAACTTGTGTGGCACGTAGGGCTAAAGAAGTCTACTCTTATGTTGTCACTTGGCAGTTCTTGAAGACTTTCAAATATATTTAGCAGCACCCTCAATGAAGTGAGACTTTATTTTCTCAGGAAACTGATGACTTTATTCATTTCACCTGGCTTAGATGAATGCACAATCAATACACAGCCAGAAGATGCAAAGTATTTTTTTTATGTCTTTTGAAAGTACTTTTGCTGTTCTGTTGTTTTGGTTTTGACCACCCACCCTAAAATAGTAAAAAGATTTAATGATAAAGATATTACAGTATGCTCATAACAAATTGTTTTATGACTGTTGAGTAGCTCCCTAGTACCTCTACAAGGAAGACAATTATAATTCCCATTTAGGCCATTATTCAATACAGAGCTGTTCAGTCCCGTTACAAGACCCCAGTGCAGTTGTTTTGACAGTGGTACCACCCACTCCTGTGAGTCCTGGGTTTAAAGGCTCCTGCAGCAACCCACACAACCAAGGAAAGCTGTATTTTGCACCCCCCCCCCCCCCCCGCCCAATAATGAAAGTATATTTCTTTATTACAGAAAGCAACACTGGTCTACATTCTGCTCACAACACTCTGCTGTAAAACAAGAAGATGAGGAGTTTTTTGCAAGGAGTTGTTTTCACAACTTCATACATACATTTTTTTTCTGTTTCCACAGATATTTGGAAGCCAAGCACTCCAAGTATTTCAGAGAGGTATCATTACAAAAGAGCTTGATTACAATGTTTCTGAAAATGAAGTGGCAGCTCTACAACAAAGAGCTCTGCTACTTTTCAACACATTCCTGGGCTAGTCATCTTTCCAGATGTTATGTACAAAATAATTACTTTTACATACAGATAGTGTGTCCTGATGAACAAAGCCAGCAACACATATTACAGCACTGAGAAGAAACAAGTATTTCTTTAAGGAGCTAAACAAAGCACTTCTTACAGAAAAAAGAGAGTCCTATTTGCAGCACTCTCAGAGAACTGAGGGGAACTCAGTATAAAAGTGTGAAATGACATTTGTGTTTACCTTTAGATCAGAAGTGTATTCTTGAAGTAAAGGCACTGATTGACCTCACTTAGTGTTTTCTGGTTTGCAATTTTAGTCTGCAACATGAAGCAGCCTTGAATCACACCAGTAACATTCCCTTGGTATAAAGGTGAACCAGAGGCACAAAATTTTTTAAAAGTGTTGCAAGTAATGATGGGCATTTTATCCATATGACCAAGCTAGAGCTAGTCTGAAACAGAACTTCTAAAGGCACATAGTGCAGACAGCCCACATGTCCTAGTAAATAAGATGCACAGAAAACACTCTTTCAGGTTTAAACAGAGTGGAGTCTGTAACTACACCATCAAGAATCACATCTAAGTTATTGTAGTTAGTTAAATTTGACAGCTTTTCCACTTAGTTTTTAAAAGCATGTAAGCCAAGCACAGATCTCAGCTCCATACATTAGTTACTTCAGAACATGCCTAAACTTACCCAAGTGAAAGAAGCATCTCCTTACACAAAGCAATGACCAGCTGACTGATCTAAAAAAATTATAACATCCCTGAAAAGCATGAATCTAATTGGCACACAGGAGCCTCATAACTGTATCTTTGTGAATTCATATAAATCTCTTAAGGTAGCTTGAAAACTGGGAAAGGTATTCTCTAACTGAAATGAGAAAGGCTTCCTGAAGTTTACTATCCATTGCTATTTTTCCAGGGATTTTTTGTTCATGGTAAACTTAGAGTAAAAATGAGGCACATCCAGGCTCGCCTGAAAGATTATTGCTGCAAACATTTTTCATGCTTCACTTACTAATTTTTAAAGTTTTTTAATTCCTTATTTATATTTTAAAATACCTCTATCATTTTTCATTTGGGAAGGACAAAACTCAACCAACCAAACAATAAAACCCAACTTGTTTTTTCTCCAATTAAAAATTATTTTCCAAACACCTGTCCTCTTGGTTCTAATTAATCTTTGTATTTACAAAGATGAATTTACACCCACATATTATTATTAATATCAAGTCAATTCTCAACCCAAAAATGTTCAAAAGTAACACATATGCCTCTACACTAGGAACTTTGTAATAACCCATACAGTAAGTAAATTTCTTTTCATCCGAGTTCGGACTGATTGGAAAACTTCAATATAAGTAAATTAGACAATCTGAAAACTTAATTAATTTATAGTAATTTCCAGTATCCAAAATACACTTTTTTCTCCCAAGTACGGTACACAATATAGAAAAAAAAAGAAACAGATGCAACAAACTAGATCTATTGTGAATTTTCCATCAGAATTATTTTCCACAGAAAAATGTCTGTTGCAAAAGAATAAAAAAAACTGTTAGAAAATGGCTTTCAATTTTTCATTAGGAAAATTAACATAGCAGCTGACTCTCCACCTTCTTGGAAAATTCTTTGTGATTTCAGCTCTGCAAATTATCCTATAAATTGTGGAAGCAAGAGATTCTCTGTATGAGCACACTAGAAAAAGGCTATGCAGTGTGTAAAACAGTATCCAAAGAGGCTTAGTCTCTATCATCCTTCCAAGTGGGCAGCAGACAAAATATTTTTATTGCAGTTGTCCTCCAACAAACCTTTGGAAACCTTTTTTTTTCCTTTGGAAAATACCAAGGTTTTACTTCTTATCCTCATCCAAAACAGACTATTTTTCAACCTACTGATGGAAAATGAAGTTTCATTTTCCATATTACAAGTTCCAAATTCCAGACCGTGAAATCTGTCCAAAACAACTCAGATTTCTATTTTCAGCCTGTGCCTTTACCACACTTTGAATATTTGGATTTATGCCAATAATCTTCTCTTAAATACACACTTTTGGTACAGAGAAAACTGGTCTACAAAAAAGAATTTGCTCCAGTACACAGAAACGAGCTTTACTCTCAGAGTTACAATAGGCTTACACAAGACAACATTCAACAAAAGTAGGATGTAACTGAACAGAGGTACTCCCCATATCTTGTTACACTTGGCTGGATTTTGGCTTGATTTATTCTGTATGTTTTAACCTTGCTGTCTAACAAAGATCTACAGTGTCCTGAGTGTTCAAGTGGTACACTGGGTTTGCCTTTTCCACTGTGTTTCCAATGAAGGAAGACATCAAGTGGAGTAGGAACCAGGTTCAAAGTAAGTAAAAGGTTCTTCACAGAATCATGAAGCTCCTTCTCACAGAATATTATGGGTGTTAAATGTTTGCAAAGATTCAATGACAATCACTCATTAGTATTAGGTTAATGATGAAGAAACAAACTAAGGAACTTTAGATCAAAATTTTACATCCAGACCAGGAAGTTCCTTGAGGAGAAAACAGCTGAACAATAACTTGTCCTGTCTCACTCTTCCCCAGATTTCTTCATGAAATTGTGGCTGGAGTCAGAATATTGAGTCAAATGTTTGTTTTGACCAAGTACAGACATTTTACATGGTTTTAGTAGATACTGCTCTTTTTTTTTTGCTTCTATCCTACACGTTGTCTTTGTATTTTGGATCCAAACAAAAATGGATAGGATTGCTAATCTACTTTATTGCCATCTTATTTTAGCTCAAGGAATTATTATTCCTGTTTTAGCTAACACCATCATGACTTACATAAAGCATACATGCTCCAATTCTGTAAGAGAAGTAGTTCTTCATTCCTGTGAAATGATCAGGAGCTGAGATCACTGAGTATTTTAAAGGGTGCTGAACATGTGACAACGGAAGGGATTTAAGCATCCATTAAGAGCTGCACAGAAGTGCTTTTCTGCATCTGGGCTCTAAAAGACCACTGAGCTATGCAAGGGCTCTAACAAGCCATTTTGTTGTCAACATATGCCTGCCCAGTTTTGTCCTATTTTATTCTGATCTGTGGGGTGTTTTTTTAAACTTTAAGACCTGTTTTTAAACAACTGTAGAGTAATCAAATTGTAAAGCTTCAAATGAGCCTTTCTCTTGGGAGATAATCATAAGTCTGAAGGGTAGGTCAGGAAAGACATTCCTCTTTTAAAAAGAATGTGTTTTTCCCACACAGAAACCAAAGGCAAAGGCTGTTTGACTGATATCATATGCAGCTCCCACAAAAACTGTATGTTGTCTCCTTTTTCAGGATGGGCCTGAACCACACCCACACTCAGGAGCAAATCTCTCTGGATGTTTGACAAAGGGGATTTATGCTGAAACAGCTTGAGGCTGTTTTCATGTAACAACTATAATCTCTATTTCTGCTTGCTAAAGCCCTACACTTATTGCTGAGCACTCCTGTTGACAGAGGATAAAAAAAGAACAAAATGCAAAAGATGCATTTGAGATGACAAATAATAACTGTGAATCACTCAGAGATTAAACTTTATACTTCACTTACTTCTGTTTCAGAAAAAAACCCCCAAAGTTGTTCTTGCAAAAGTCTCTAGAATATGCAATCTCAAGAAAGAAAGTAAAATCCTGAATTAGGCTACAAAATATGACTATAAAAGAGCGCAAAAAAAGGGGTTGGGCCAACTCACAGCAACTGCAGTTGCAGCTCCTAAAATACAAGAGTGGATTTTTTTACCTAGGACACCAAAACCAACTGAATTGAAAAATCGTATTGAAAACTGAAAGCCTATTCTTCAGAGAACACTTTCTAGTACTGAGAAAATATGTGATCTTTTGATCTTTAGAAAATGTATGTGCCTTATTCCCAGACTGAAAATAAATCAAAGAAAACCAAAGGGGATTCTTGGAAACTCTGCAAACTACCTTTTCCCTGAAGCCAGTTTTAAATGTCTGGATTTTTTTAGGCTACTGATTGTGCCACGGTACTTAAACAACAGCAAAGCATGATGCTGGGTCCTCATATTTTCACCAAACTTATTAAAGGGGTGGTTTTGAAAACATAATAAAAGAATTTTCAGTTAGATGTATGAGTTGAGCAATGAGAATCCAACCAATCAACTCTAGACAACAGGAGTAACAATGCCTGAAGGTAATTATGAGGATTTTATACAATCACTTCTTCACTTTTACATAGCTGTCTTGAGCTCATGTTGAACTTTTGCTCCATCCAGTATGAATTGAATCACCAGTGGTTCCACTCTGGCCTATTAAATGTCATTTTAAAGTGTTTCTCAAAAATGCAGAAAAAATGCATTTAAAGAAGACCAGTGACATAATTAATAACTCACTCTTTAGTTCGAAGCATTTTGTCTATTGTGAATGTCACACACTTAGGAAGCTCTAATCTGAAATTTACCTATGTTTTAATCATAAAAAAGCTGCCTGGAAAGTAAGAAGAAATGCGTGATTGCACTACCCTAATCAAAACTTGTATCCAAAAACTATCTCAGTTTAGAAGTCTTCTTTGCCAACACATGCAAGGGTGGTCAAGATTTGGAACAGAGTGCTCATGGAAGCAGTGGAATCACTGCCAATGGCAGCACAGACGTGGTGCTCAGTAACTTGGTTAGTGGTGGACATGGCAGTGTTGGGTTAACACCTGCACTAGATAATCTCAGAGGTTTTTTCCAGCCTTAATGATTCCAGGATTCAATTATGTTTAGATGGTTTGGGGAGACATTTTTCCTTTTTAGAAGTTGTTTATTAGTTTCTGTTGTTATTACTATTATTATTATTTACTACCACTCTTGTCATTAACATGCTCATGTGCACAAGCATATTGCTGACTTGGATCCTGTTAGTTTACCACAAAATAAAAATATTTTTTCACTATCTCATGAACGAACAGAAGCTCATCTAATGGACCTGTCTTCAGTGAATTAATCTGCTTCCATTCCTCACTCCAATCCATAACTGCTGACTGCAAGAAGCTCCTGTGGGAGCACACTAACACAGGAAAACATACATTATCATCTAGTCTTCACACAGTATGCTTCAATGTGTATTCAATCACAAACATCTCTTCTACAATGACAGCAAATGAAGAAATGGGATCGCTAAGGAACTAGCTATAACATGGAAAATGCTTCTTTTTCACTGGATGTGATATTTATCCATGCCAAGCAATACTTATGTTAAACAGTAATTTTGTGACAGACCACATGTCTGTGAGGACTGACCTAATCTCTACTGTGTAATCTCCAAAGCATTTGGGCAGGAGTCAACCTGCAATGTGCCAAGGGCACTAGCATGAGAGGTTGGTTACACATAGCCCTTTACACCAAAGAATTTCAAAAAAATTTCCAAAGCTGTATTGCATACAGCTATTCTAACAATTTTAAACACTCTTTCTCTCTCTCCTTTTTGTCCAAGAAACCTCCCCCACTACAGTCATTAAAACAATTTATTATATACTTATACACCAAGGCGCTTCTGGCTTAGCAATTTCCAGCAAGTCATTGTTAACTGCTGACTTTGAAATTACTTGTGGTGCAGTGCTCATCAGGTCATTCTGACATGTTTCAATATAAACTTCCCTTTCCTGTTTTTCCTTCACCTCTGGCAAATCAGCACTTTTACCATGGCTGTCCATGATGACTGGAAAACACTTTCCTAAGATCTGCTTTTAGCCACCAAGCCTCCACCCCAGTTTTACTGTCAGCAAACCCATCCTTCAGACAGTCAAACCAATTCCTTTCCTCCTCTCTCCCCACAGGCTGTCTTTCTTACAACTCAGCATTTGGCATTTAAAATATCTTCTTTTTCAGTACTATAAACATCTAGAAAGTAGTAGTGCCTTACCTGGCACTGAAAATGGAGTTAGACTGTCCTGTTCATTTTCCTCCTCTTGGTTCCCCACAGGGATGTTTCCATTTTCAATATTCTCTTGTCTCCTGTTCTGAAGAGCTTTGCTTGAGCCATTGGCAGATTGGATTAACCGCTGGCGCTGCAGTGTCAAAACACAAAACTGCCATAGTTCAGGAAGTATTTACTTTGAGACATCTGAGTTTTGCTCTCTGTCCAGCCCCAGTCACATGAGCCATGAAGTTTCTCCTCAAAGCTTTCCTTTCAATCAACAACAAACCTGTCAGTGGCCTACCTGTCTTCAGCAGGCATCAGCCTTCACCAGGTTAACCATCCACTTCAAAATCACTGGCAGGAGTCTTTCAAGCCATGATGGAGAATGTTGTAACACTTGTTGTTCCACCCATGTTTGCACCAATGTGGTATTCTAAAGCACTTCTCACTCAACAGCTCCCACTCATACCAGCAATAGCACCATAATTAAATGGTAACACTCAAGACACCTCTGCACAATTAAGAGCTGGCTTATGAATGACTCATTATCCAGGAGCTCTCCTTCTCAGATCCAACTCTTCTCTTCTCCCTCCTTCTCAACTACATTTACTGAGGTAAATTTGAACTTCCTATTTTTAACTTCAAAAGCAAGACTAATCCTTGTTGCCCTTGTCCAAGTACATGAAGTTCATAATTGGCCCTGCAGACATGTATAAGAATTGCTGCAGTTTCAACACAGAGTAAAACAATTACAAGTATAGGTTTTAAATATCAGTTTATATACCCACTCATGCACTGGAGAATGTTAGATGCAACAGTAAGTTCTTACTTTTATAAAAAAAATTATTATTTTAATTCATTAGATGAGGTAATGCAGGGTAGATAAGTGTTCTCTTTTCCTGACAAACTATCAACTCCTAAAAGGTGCTCTGAAATGCCTTGAAAAATAAGGTAACTGCACAAACTGCAAAAAAAAAATTCTGAAAGCAGTATCAACATACTCTAGTGAAAAACAGAAAAAAATTCTATCTGAATACTTTGTAAAACTTGTGAATATATAAGTGAGAATACATAAGACCATACATCCAAAATGCTCAAGTTTAGAGAATGTTTTTTGCAGATGTTGAAAGGGCCAAGTATCAGCTTCCTACTCATACAGCCATTAAGAATTTTTCACTGATCAATGAATTGACTTCAAGGATTACAGAGTCAACTGTTGCCATGTGCCTGGTCTGATCTTCTACTCCTGACCATAACACCTTTCACTATTTTACTGTCAAACTGAATTTTTGTTACAAATGTATTAATGGTGCTTGCTTTTAGTATGGAGTTCATAAGGCTGGCTAAACACATGAACTGTGTTATGATGTTGAAATCTATTTACTTGCCAGAGTAAATAGCTCTCAGATTTGATATTGTGGGAGCAAACTATAAAATCCTGCCTTCATAAAATGCAAGGTAGGTAGGCCAAAGATTTTACCCCTAGCGGTTCAGCAAGTTCGGAACAGCCACACTTGCCAAGCCACTTCAGCTGCAGGGTATGCAACAAGCAATATACACTCCTGACAATGTATCGAGTAAGAGATAACTGAAACTGTCCAGGGCAAATTCCACTCATGAAAATATTTTGGTCCATTTTTATTTTGAGTTGACGACTACAGTGAATACTAAATAGGAAGGCAAATCTCTGAAGGAATCCTGAAGTGTTAATAATACAAGAGCAGTTTTAAAAATTTTTGGTTGTCTTGTCCATTATCCTTTTTTAACCTAACCACTTTTGTAATAATCCAAACCAATTACTCTGCTATAGATATAATCTAAATATGCATTTTCACACACACACACACTGAAGTAAACATCTTCTGTCAGAGAGATAAGGTAGTCCCTCCGATTTGACTGCCCTCCCATTAAAACAGGCAATATCATCAGCTGGGACTCAATCTTCAAATCTGTTCTCATATAGCTGCTTGAGAAAGACAGTTCTCTCCCAGCCGTAGGAACATGGGAGAATCTAAATTCCAGGATCACTATGAGCACAGCTCTTTGGTAACCCCTCTGCCTCATGGTCATTTTCTGTTCTCCTAATGAACGTACCTCATTAATGATGAGTCTGCTTGCCATCCTCATTCTGGTGCGTGGTCCAAACTTATTTGTGATCATAATCCGTAATCCAGCTTCAGGGAACCGGTATTTGGGAGGACTGGAGCAGATTATCTCATCCACCATCACAACACTGTTTTTGCCATACTGCTGGATCCCCTTCACTAGTGATCACAAGGGACAGAGTTAGCAGTGTAATTGACCCACCATGCGCCCCACCATCCAGAGTCAGGTCTTTCCAGGCTCAGGTGGGGGAAACATTTATCTGAATAGCAGAATTTATGAGTGACTTTCCTTTAATATTTCTGCAGCCTGGTGAATCTCCTCATCAGTTGTGCTCTGTGTTAGATCACATGCTGGAAAGAGATTTCCCTCGACTAAGGCAGCCACCAAGTCACTGTCAGATTAGTGGGAGCAGTTTTTCCCCAGTTGTTCATGCTGTAGTACCAGTTTTCTTTGCTTATGTCCCGCTAGAGTTTTGTACCCTTTCTCTGGAAGTGTTTGCACTGTGGCACTGTAGACAGCACTCCTGAAACCTATAAAGCTATTCCATTGGATCAAGGTGCTGCACATGCAGAAGGCCCTAATGTTGTGCTCACTCCTGGAAATCTTCACTTTACCTTCACAGAATATTACCAGTATGTCTCATATGAAAACATTTGAAATTATGACAAGAATTTTCAAGAAAAAATCTATGGTTCTAACTAACTAACAAAGTAAGCCTTTGTTAATATAAAGGATTTTGTACCAAGTTTAAGATTACAAAGTTAACAAATTTCTACCATGTTAAGAACACGTAGAGACAAAATTTTATTGGGAATCAACACAAGTACAGGCAAGGACTTTAGGAGATCACCAACAAACCAATATTCTCACAAATGCTACAGACTACACAGAGCAAGCAGAGCAAGGCTCAGCAGACAGGAGACATACCCATGTGGTGTTAGAAAGCAGGGCAGGAAATACATACATGACCATAATAAATATAATTATTACATATAATAATATGTACAGAAAAAAAATCTTTGCAGCTTGTTTTCTGCTTTGCTTAGCTTGGCCTCCCCCACTCCCTCCCCTTTTGCATTGTTACTTACATTAGGAAGAGGAGGAGAATTTAGGAGGTAGAAGTGAAAGATAATTAGTGCATGGTTCCAGTCAGGAAGCAAAGGAAATCTAAGAAAACATTCAACTCAAACAATGAAATTAAAATGGACCTGTTCTAAACACACAGAAGCCTATATTGTTACTCTTTTGCTTTGTTACAGTGTTGAATATTTTTGTTTTTCAGGAAGACTGGATTCCTGCATGCGTCTAAGTCACATCATGCAATAAAGACTTTGCTGTCTCAAGCATCTTCTAGCACATTTGCAGTTGAAGAAATACATTCTCCATAATGATTCAACAAGAAAAACCATCAAGCCTGTAAATCACCAATAAACATCTGTAACTTCCACCCTTCCAAGCATTTGAGTGTCTTGCCTTGTTTCACTAAAATCGCTTCAGTGAGTACACTGGGGTCACCTGAAGTGTCATAAATGTAAGATCTCTGGTTTCACAAAGAAATGTGCCTTGCTCAGAGAATCCACTCTGGAGTTGTGCTTGCAGCTTAAGATCTCTAATACAGAATAGAACTAATAGTAATTTTACATTTGCTAAATGTAAGGGAGCAATTATCCTCCACTATTCCAACATCTAAACCAAATTAGCCTTGCTGAGTACTGTGGCTGATGATGCAAATAAGGAGCACATCCACTCCAGTGACTCTTGGAGTGTAGCAGCTTTTCTGTGCAGGAATATACAGCCAGACAGGTTTCCTAGGAATCAGTCCTCACAATCAGGACTCAGCCATATAAACTTAACATTTGCTTTAGTTAAAGAAAAATAAATATTTGACAGCAATGGTAGTAAGGACAAAAAGGTCCCAGCCTCATCAGATTAACTGTTCCCAAGTGAGTTTCTCCAGAGAATTAACCAAAATGATTCATCTTACAGTGACATGAAAAACATGGGAGCACTGAAGTTACTCTGAAACTGTTTCTTAGAGCCCTATGAAGACAGTGAGCAAACAAACATTCAGCTTTGAGAAAAGTACCGTAATAAAAAACTCAGCGCTGTTGTAGAATCCCTCATACTAAATATATATTTAAGTACTGCAGCTATTCTGACTTACTGTGGCACATTGCTCTTATTATTTTTATTATTTTCAGTTTGACTCCCTATGCCTGTTAAAAAACCCACATATCTTAGCCCCATATAGTATGGACCCCATCTAAAAGCTGTCTTAAGAAATGTGAAAAGGAGAAAAGCCTTTTGCACTTCTACTTTGTGACAATCCTTTAAAAAAAAACTCTACTGAGAACAGCTTTTCTTTCCAACAAACTCATTGCTCACCATCAAAGGTTCATCACCAACAACCCTGTCAAAATCAACAGAAAGCTTTCGATGACTTTAGCTCTGAAACCCAGTCCATCAGAAACCCACTTTTGCCCAAATTTCTGGTTTCAGGCAGGGGTCAAACCATGCCACCTGGTGGAAATTTGGGTCAACACAATGAAAGTCTAGGGTAATACACATTTGTGCTTTGAAAATTGGAGCAGTATTTACAAAGTACATCTAGTTTGCCTTTACCTGTGTGTAAAAAACTCACCCTTGAAATGAAATTTTTCTTATGGTGAAAATCTCTCCTTTTTCTTTCTGAAACTTGAGTGATTAAATATTTTATATTGTACCACTGGAAGCTCTTGAAAGTCATGAAACTAGCAAGCATAAAAGAGCTTTACAGTGTTACACCTTTTACCTGCACTCTGAGCAACAGACTATCCTTGCTAGAAACAAAGTTCCTCACCCAAAGCAACTGTTCCTTTACAGGCTTTCCCTCAGAGGAAAATCAGATTAAGGTCAATCCGACACCTTGGTGAAGCCAAGGGAGGTTTTTTGGTGGATCCTAAAACTGCTAACGAGTGCAAGGCAGAGAGGCCAGCCTCAGTTCTCTCCTTGCTATTAGCAGTGCTCCTTTCTGAAAGCTGCTGCTGGGGAAAATGCAGCTGAGCTTGTGAAGCCAGCATGTGCCAACTAAGAGGGAGTCACTGATGGATGGGCCATGGCATATTTTGAGAGAACAGGAGGGAAGAAGCTAGAGGCAGCCATGTGACAGTTTTCTAGGACAGCATCTTGACACATAAAGCAGTCAGGCTAACACTGCCATCCTCCCCTCCCACTGCTCACTCCAAATCCTTAATCTCTTCTTTCTGTACTTTTTCAGGCATGTTTGCCTGTGACAGTATCTACACTCTGGCTCTTTGAACAATTGTCCCTCCAATGAAGCACGTATTTGTGTAATGGGTGCTGGAGAAGACAAAGGGAATCTGACTGGAACTGCAGTATCAGTGCATCTTTGAGGCAAAATCAGAAAAGAAATCTGATGTGGACAGTTGCTAGTGGAGCTTTATTGATTCTTTTCTGCATGTTCTTCACAAGCTTTCAATAATCTACACATTTCCTTGAAAAGGGAATAGATGGACAGGCAAGCAGCCTGTGCTACTGTCTCTTTACCACAAGGGCTAGAGAGGAGAGCCTGCTGGGAGATGACATCAGAACCCAACAAATTCCTTTAAACTAAAATCCACTAATATCTGTGGTGTTTAACTGGATTACCCTTTTCTCACTTGAATACAGGAAGCATCTGCAGAACAGCATGGACACAAACCCACACGCAGGTGACAGACCTCACTATATCAGAGTCAATGCTCCCAAAAGTTCATTATAAAATTAGATGAAAGCATTTCAAAGTCATCATCATTTAATCATGCTACAATGTCCCATGATAAATAATTTTAAATTAGTGTTGTCTAAACACCTTATCTAGGACCAGAGCAGCAGTGTGCTGTCACTGAATAAACCTATACCTACAGGTATAGCTACCTGTATACCTGTAACTTAAAGAAATCCCAGCCTAAACACTAAAAGCAGAAAAGAGTGGGATCGTCTGAGTCTGTTCTAAATTCCTGTTTGGCATTATTTGTTATTACATGGGGATCTTTCCAATGCTACTGACATTGCTGATGAGCTCAGCCTCCTAGAATGGGAGATGTGTGCAAAGAACAAAGTGAGGAGACCTCACTCGTTAAGAGCAGCCCAACTGCTCACTAAATTACATGGTTTGTGCTTTGAAAGTGGAAGGATTTTGCTCTATAGAGAAAAGGGAGAATGGAAGAGAAGAGAGGTAAGACAAAGATAAAAACAGGCTTAGAAAGCAAGCCAAAAATATCCAGGTATTTTTGCTTACTTTCAGTATCACAAGCTGGATATCATCTTCTTTCCTTTATGACAAAAACACAAATAGCAAAGAACCTGCATTTTTGAATTTTACATCTGTGTCTGGTGAGGTATACAGACTATTTAGGCATGTGAAAACCAGTCTTCTGAGGATCTGAACTCAATGTGTAACCCCTCTTGCCCACTGATCTGCCCATGTAATTTCCTTCAACATGCACATCTCAACTTCTCATTCCAAACTAATTTTTGAAGTGAAAATTGTTTTCTTCTTGGTAAAAAAAGTGTATTTCTTTCACAATGTTGTAGATCATCACAGAACAGGAAATAAAAAGGGAGCAAAATTGCCAATGTGCAAAGCAGCTTTTTTCAGAATATAGAAGAAAAAAAATATCTTTTTTTTCTAATATGGCAATCTGACTGCTGAATTATCAAGTTAACCCTGCTTACAATTGAATAGTGACATTGTTTTGATCCGCATAAACTATTGTTTTTCCAAGTCCTGTCTGCTCAGCCTTACCTTTCCATAGTAATGGAATGGATGGGTCATCACAACTAGAGGCATAACATTTATTACCATCTTCCAGCTCATTGTTGACTGTGTCACCATTTCCAACATTCTTGCTTTTAAGGCTGAAGAAATTTTGCATCCTCACATTGTACCTGAAAGTGCAAAGAAAAGGTTCTCTAAAAAGGTTGGATTTTTACATTTTCTTCGCAAACTTTAAAACCATCTGAGAACAACTTATGCAGGCAAGCAGGAAAGCCTAGATGCATGTTCTCTAACAATTAATAAGGAGTGAAGAGAAAGGACTGTCCAACTCAGTGGCAAGCTGATAGGAAAGCAAGGACTGCACCTATCTCTCATGACATGCAGCGAACTGCAAAAAGGCACTAGAGCAGATTTAGTGAAGGTAAAACACTGGAGCTGTTGATTTTGGAGCCAGGACACTCACTATAGAGCAGCTTCTTTCCTCCTGCATCATCTCACAATTCACCTCACTGTTTCCTTCAGTACTATGTTCCCTGTGGGAGGGTTCTTGAGCATTTCTGGGACTGCTCACCATACCCTTCTAAAGACAGAATATATCTATTTTAGCACCAGGGTGGGATCTAAGAGGGCTGTCAATGAGCTCTGCTAAGACTTGATGTAGGAGAAAAGGGAGTTCCAACAGGGTGATTTGTGAGGGGAAGGCACCAAGGGATACAAGTCTAAGCAACTTGCAATAGAAGGGTGGACTCAGACACTCGCAGTAACAGTCAGACCTCTGACTCTCCTGTCAGAGGCAGTGGCACAACAGAAGAAGACACCAGTAAACAACTAAGATGAGATGGTCTGAAGATAAATACATGCTTAGCACTCTATCTAATGTTATTTGACCTTGTTCTCCAGGGAGTATACAATATGTGTAAGAGCTGACATGATAAGTGTTTACAATCCAGAGGGCCCTACAAACTTTTCATATACCTTTGTATAAATAAGATTTTTCTCAACTTTTTCTAAAAGCTACTTTACCTCTGTGCACTATGAAAAGGATGCATGAAAGTATTTGCTGCTGATTAAGCACAAACATAGAATTAAAGTGGTAAAGCATAAAACCCAACAGATCTAACACAGAAACATGACTGGCTGTACTGTCCTCAGGGAGGAAGGCCAAGGACAAAACAAGACCAAAAGAATGATGGTCAGTTAACAGCTAAAGGGTACAGCAAGGAGAAGTACTTACTTCATGATAAGTATGTAGAATGAATACATAATGATGAGCACAAGGCTTTCCCACCTCAAAAAGACAGAAAGAAGTGTTAGAAGGCCATTCAAACAGCTGTATGCTTTACAAGTTTTATGTGGGAGTGTGCATTAAACATCTGGTACAAGTCACATTTGTGCACACAGGACTCACATCATTAAGATTAGATGGTGTCTCAGCAGAATGAGAGGGGAAGCAGACTCTCAAGTTTCAATAAACATGCAAATAAAATGCAATGCATGTATTTCAGAAATGTGCTATACAGACTGAAACCACAGCTACCCTCTGAGGATCATAACACCAAGGCCTTTTGCAATTCAGTGCTGAAGCACTGGCCAGGCACTTTGAGAGCACTGTTTTCTAACAGTGCTGTGATCTTCCTCTAGGATTCACACTGGAGTGTTCATTGGAACACCTGGCATCCCATAAATGTTAGCAGTCAGAATCCAAGCAGAAGAGTTTTGATTACCCTCTCTGCACATGGGAATCTTCAGGCCTTACACAGAGCCTATGTACTTCCTTAATCTTTCCTGGCTCTTACATTTTCTTTTTGTTTTTTGTGACCATCATAAAAACTAAGCCCAAACAAAATACACAGGATTTAAATCCAGCTCATACTCTCAGTGTGTAGAATGAAAATCAATTACGCTACAACTCTATTTTCTAGTGAGCCTTGTGGCAAATAAAGGAGTGCATGGAATAATTTATACAACTTACCATTCTATTTCCTCATCATATATGAACTAGAAGAAGGAAAAAAAGGAAACATAAATTTCTCTGATCTATCTCAAAAAACTGTCAAATTTCTTCAGCAAGTATCAGCCACATCTAGACAGACCTACTCAAGTTTTGACCCGTTCTAACCAGAACTTACACTGTATGGACTGTGCCCCTCACAAAATACAAACCTTGTGAACAAGGCCTGGGTCTCTGCCAGTGGCTGTTTTAAGAACTATTAAGGAAAATGGTGCAAGCATGTTGAAGACAGGCAGATACGTACTCATGCACCCACATGCTATCCTGTGCAAATGACAGCAAAGTCACTTATTCAAAAAAAACTTAACTCTTGAGTCCTTTTAGCAGCTAGACTAGCTGTAGCAGAGCAGGCAGCAATTTTACTTCTCTTGGGTCAAATGGTTATACACATTTTATTCCACCCCGTGCAACTGCTGTTACTGAATACGCAGCTAGTGATCCACTTGTATTACAAAATACAGACTAATGGATTCTTCCCTGCCTTGGCACCAGACACGTTATATGTGTACATTCATCAGCTACACTGCTCTAGATGAACAAAGTGGTATCTCACCTGTGCTCTACATGGAAAAACTTACCCAGAATTAGAAATAAAATTATTGTGTAGAAGCAAGAAACAGCCACCTTCTCTATTTAAAATAGATGTGTAGCTCAAAATTTTTCACTACCACAACAAGCAGTCTCTTAGGTCTGGGGAGAGTGTTATCTGCACTGTGTAACAGTATCCTACTTATCTGCAGACCTTTACAAGCCCTAGGTACAAAATGAATGGACATTGATGGACATGGTGGGCACATATTCCATGGGGATGTATGAAATTTTCATATTTATACAACACTGTGGAGCTCAGTTCTCACTTCCAGATGCCACTAGAACTAGCTAAGAAAATAATTATTTGCCAGTTTGTATCAATAGTGAGCAGGCTGGTCCTCCAAAAATTCAAGCACTGAAACACAGTAAATGATAAGAGAGCTACTTACCACAATAAGTACGATGACAGATATTGTGTAGTATATAGAATCCCGGAACACTGCCCACTGGGTGAGACAAACCACCTGAAAAACACCACACCTTCAGCCAAGAAAAAGATGGGATTTCAAAAACAAACAGATAAAAAAGCCCCTATCTTAAAATAACTTAGCTATGTAAGCAGAGTAATTATTATTATTATTAGCAACAATTCTGAAACCAAGTGCAGTTTCATGCTACCATGAAGATGTATCGGTCTGTTAGACAATGAATCTATAATAAACATCAGTAATAAAAATCATATAGAAACTTCCATTATTGAAATACATTTCTTACTAATGATACTTGATTTGGTTATAATTTCAATTGTAAAGTAAAATTCATTGTACTGCAGCAAATCAATTGTTCCTCGTTCCTTTTATTTGTGGATATATTTGACTTACTACCTGAAAACATATGATAAACAGTTTAACCATATATAGAGTAAATGGAGCAAATCTCATGCTTGTGCCCCAGATTCATTGACTGTCATCAGTACCAGGAAGGATCAGCAGATGCCAATGATCAGTTGACTAGAAAGACATTATTGTATGAAGAGGAACCAGTTTCCTCTGTATGCTACATGTTCAGAATGCTGACACTACAGCTGAACTTTTTGGAAACATTCACTATTTGTAAAGCATTTGTAAATTCTTTCCAATCTTTGAAGCTTTTCACAATGTCATTTTTGTCTGTGATTTTGTCCTTTTTTTAAATATATGCTCATGGAAACCCCTAAATTGTAAGCAATTGAACTCTGTAAAGACAAGTATCTTACTAACCTGTCCTGCAAACAGTCCACAGACACCAACAATGCAGAGGATGTTGAAAACTGCTGAACCAACAATGGTTCCAACTCCTACATCTCCATGAGTGATAAATACACCTGCAGAAGAAGCAAAATATACATAACTACACCTGTCATTTAATTTTAGGTCTACTTGTGAAGTAGAGATTGTTTCAAAGATTAATCAAAACACGTTTCATAATTAAAGCTCACTTCTCTGTGTAATAATTTGTGCTTTTAGTCTAGCTAACAGCTCCCCATCTGTGGATTAGAACCTCTACATATATAATTTTAGTAAATGATTTCTTAACTAGTTAGTTCAACAGTTTGACAGCTTAGATTTTAGCTGTGTCACATCCCTCAACCTGCTAGCCACACTGCTTCTGGTGCAGCCCAGGATATAGTTGGTTTTCTGGGCTGCAAGTGCACACTGGCTGCACAGTGACAGATCATGATGAGCTCATCATCCAACACCCCCAAGACTTTCTCCTCAGGGCTGCTGTTAATCTATTTCCAAATATATCAAATTACTTCTCAAGGGACTTCAATAAATCTCTTCTTTTGCGTCCTGTGTTCAGAATCAGACATTCTGCTCCGTGTTTTGAGAGAAGACTCACAGTTCCATGAGATATTTTGAGTAGTTAATGATACCATGAACCACAGACTAGCTGACAGCTGCAATCGCTGATTATAAATTGTCAGAAGAATGGGTACCTGTGCTTGATCTGCTGCTGATTTTTTAACAGCAGATCTCAAAAAAGCTTGTGTGTGGGCTCCATACCTATAACAGATGCAAAGAGTTCTGGGGTGGAGCTCCCGGCTGCCATGAATGTGGCTCCAGCAACATCTTCACTCAAATGTAGTTTCTAGAAGAAAACAATTGGCAATTTCAGCACTGCTGTTGTATTTACATTGCGCAGTTCTACAGTTATATATGTAAATGAATAGCCAATTGTGGCTTACATGAAGCTGATTAAAGTATCTCTGCAGATTCAAAAGGATTGTAAACATCTCAAATTGTTTTAATTAATTTACTTCTGTAACTCTAAACACAGTCATTCAATTCCCCAACTCTTAGGGCTTCTAAAATTCAAAAATGAAAACCTGTAACAGGAAAATACAACCTTTGTGAATAAATCCTATGAACAGCAGGCTTGATTCTGGCTTCACTTTTCAACTGTGTTAATCAAAAGTGAGTCCGCTGACACAGGTAAAATTAGTCCAGTTAGACACAGAGAGGGTGTGTGGTGGAGAGATCTATTTTTATGATGGTGTCTCTTAAGCTTTAATAGGATATAGATAACTTAGAGTTCTCAGACCAGCAAAAACACGTGCAGGTCCACAAGTGGGTTGTATCAATTTAGCAGTCTGAAGATCTTTCCCTTGAACTATAAACATGGTTTTATGGAAGAGCTTTTTCCTTTTTGAGAGTCTCTAGGATCATCTTTAGTATACTATTTTTCTTTCAAGGATAGAAAATTAACTAGTGACAAAAGGAGAAGTAAAAAATCCTGTATTTTTCAAGCAGTTTGCCTGAAAACATCTTAAGCAGATAACAATGGTACCCTACACGTCTTGACAAAACGTAAACACAAGTATGATCTACTACCAGTCATACTGCTGCAGGAACTCAAACCTAGGTGTTCTGTCTGAACTCTTTGTAGCTGTTTAAATGTTCAGCAGGAATGTGAGATAAAATGCAAATATTTTATGAAAGATCAGTAACCAGTAATTGGTACAACCAACTGGTATAACTTAAATATAGTATCTAATGTGCATGCTGAATACTGAACATCTGGAAAGGGACAGAAAATATACCAACTGAGTATTTAACTACTCCCTTATTATTCTATTTGTTCTTCTACTGATGAGTGTAAGCTTACAACTCTAAGTAACACCAACAGGTATTTAGTACATTTAGCAACAGGAAAAGAGAGTTTTAAACTAATTACAGAAAGAAAAAAACAGGAGTTTTTCACAAAATTATCAAAATTATCACTCTTATTTTTGTTTAAAAGCAAAGGAGATGAGATTTTCATTTCATGTTTAAAAAAAAGTTAAAATCTACATTTGTATTATGTATTTATTTTGTTCACCAATATCATACTCACCACAACAATTACATGCCATGTATTAATTCTACTCTGTCACAATCAACTCAATTAGAATACTAAATATAATTTTGTAAAGCCTTCTCAAAAATTAAAGGCATTATGTTACTTTTTTTTTGCATATAAAATATGTATTCTGATTCCATATCCAAGGCACATACTTTTCTCAAGGATTTTCTCTTTTTTCCATTTTTGCTAGGATCACATATACTTCCTCTCTCCTGACACGGTGGTAGATGTGCAATAAGATTTGTATAGCCACCACATTAATTTTTCTATCTATGGTATCCTTCCTCAGGTTACTTTTCAAAAAAGGAGTACAATAATAAATCCAACTCATCCACAACCCATACCTCTCCTAGGTACATGCTTCAGGTATTTAAGAGTGGGCTTTGTCATTCGATCTCATTAAAACTTTGATTTCTTTTTTCTGCCAGAGGAACAAGTGTGCACAGACCACTGGTTCATTTTTCTGATGGAAAATAATATCTCTAAATAATATTCTCTAAATAAATTTCTAAAAGAGTAATAATGTTCATTAACATACCTCACAAATTTTCTCTAAGGATGGAACAAAGAAGTCATCACATACTATGGCCAAAGCGTAAAACATATAAAGAGCCTGTAAAGAAAATAAATTCAGGGAATACTTCAGATTTTTCCTGCATATGGAAAGAGGAAAAAAGGTAATGCTACCTTTATTCAAACTAGCAGAAATATATAGCTTCACTTTTTATTTAATTCCAAATAAAAGTCTCCCTGTTGATAAATTTATGACATAAAACCAGATTTTTGAATGTAAGATCTAATTTGGAACATTTGTCACACCCTAAAATATGAAAGGTACCACACCTTAACAGAACAGGATGCCACAACAGATTTCATATAATGAGTTATGTAGTCATCCTCTAGACTTAACTTATTATCAGACCAAGTAATTAAATAGAAAATAAAACTAGGCCGATTAACAATATTCAGGAAATATTTATACCTGTAAATAAGTGGACTCTGGCCACGGATCACTGCACCAAACACCTAGAAATGATCCTGGTTCCCTGCATACGTGTGATTCTACCACTGTCTTATGCAGCTTTATGTGCTGTGCCCATGAAGTGGGCTTAATCCTGCTGGTGTCATCAAACAGAACTCCTTTATAATTTAATTTCCCTGAGCTGGGAATGAAAAGATGGAGCTTGCAGGCCTCACTTGCTTTGTTTTTTAATACAGTAGGAAAAAATAAATCCACATGATATTTTCTATATTTCTTTAAGGTTGGTTTGGGGGTTTAAAATTTATAATTACATCTATTGCATAGAGGCATAAAAGAAAAGAAAGAGACTCAAGAAACTTCCACATCATGCTTAATGTCATCAGTGTAGGAATCCCAAACTCTGACTATATAACATGAAATAAAATTCATGTGATCCATTCTGCCAGGATTTTATCTCCAAGAGAATGAATTAATAGGTTCTGCAAATTCAGACTTGCATCCTTTTCTTAAATCATGGAGTCACAGAATCATTTAGGTTGGAAAAGACCCTTAAAATCATAAAGTTCAACTGTTAATCCAACAATACCAAGTCCACCACTATACCACGTCCCCAAGGTGTTACCTTTTAAGGAATTGTACTCATATTAGAAATACTCAAATCAAACTATTAAAAACTTGTTGATATATAGTGAACTCTACTTAGTAAGGTCACTATGATAATTAATAGCTAATTAAAAAATAAAAGTAGAATGAGTAACATAAATGAGTAACATAAATGAGTAACATAAAAGAAAATAAAGCACAGTAGAGAAAAACTTACAGCAATGATATGAAGCAGAATTCCTCCTTGCTGACGTTCTTTATTTGTAAATATATCTTCAGGAAACTCATTAATGGCTGAAAGAAAAACATATATTTTTTTAAAAATGTACACAGCATGTATAAACGGAAGAATGAAAAATAGGGAAGCATCTGCAGAAACATATGACCAAACATAAGTGCCTCTTCTGATGTATGATATTACAGCTTGCCATTTCAGAATTTCTTTAGTGCTCTGTAGTTTTGAGACACTGTGTAATCACAGTTGATACTCTTACAGGAACACAGTACAGGATAATTCACAAACTACAGGTCAAGATGAAGCAATCTGCAATGCTTTAATCTATTTTATGTATCTTATAACCATTTTAAGATGCCAACAGAAGCATATATGTATGTAACAGCAAGTAGGTTCCTTCTAGTAATACAGTGCTGTATATAGTAATATCTACTATAATAAAATATTATTCCCTTCATGAGAGTAGAATACCTTCTGAAATAATACTGAAATACTATCAACTTTAAGAACTTATTGTCAGTTACATTAACTGACAAAAGCAAAAATTTTCAAAGTTATTCCCTACCATGAAATAATGTATGGCAAAAATTAGAAAGCACACAAGGCATGTGTTTTTTAATAAATTCTGCCTATTAAAAACTAATATTATCTGAAGTGATTAGTAACTAAAAATTCTTTAAGAAAACTTCCTTAATGGAAGGGAAGTGGGAGAAAAGACCCAGATCTACAGCTGCTTGCACAATATGGTTGTTCTTACATCACTGGTTGAAATACCATGCCCGCATGGATGTATTCAGGACACACACACCATTCACACTGCAACCCCCACTTTGTCCTCTGTGCCCTCCATTCCAGCTGTGAGAACACAAATAGGACAGCAAAGAACAGAGCCTTGGCCTGAGTCTCTAGCAATGATAACAGCACCCTGCACATGAGGCAGATCTTTTTACATAATTGGATGCAAAGGTGTGCAGCTCCCATCACAGGCACTTTGTGCCAGAAGGTCCACTCCCTTACTGCCACCACATGGCAGAAGGAATATATCCCTGTTCCCTATCTTGGCAACCTGGATGTGTCATCTGGGAAGCTATTACCTAATGGTAATTTTATTCAGATGACTGTATAACATTTCACAGTACAATGTTAAAAATGGATAAGTTAGTATAAACCAAAGTTGTAAGAAGCATTAATAAAAATCACAATTTTTCTAATATTTCTAAGGTGACTTTACTTCTGTGAAGTTAATACCAAATAGGGAATCCCAAGGACATCAAAAGTAAGAGCTAGAAAATAAAAACGAGTGTAGGCATCCAATCACAAAACAAAAGCAAAGCACCATCACTGCAAACTGTCTTTCTTCACAGACAGTGATAACAGTATATTCTGGTGATAACAGCATTAGTAATAAATAACTACTTGTAATAAACACCTGCTTGTCTCACAGAGGTCATATTACATGAACTAACACAAAGACAGCTTATCTCAAAGATATTGCTCCTCTCTACAAAGAACTCATGGTGTGCAGTTTTTCTCACAATGAGACAATTCAAAATCTTCTATAAAAGTCAGGGAAATTAAACAAAGCTCTGGAGCTTGTTAGGCAAGATTTCTTCCTTAATGAAGTGGACACTTACCAGTGAGTTCCAAGGTACAGTATAGAGTTTTACTGTATCAACATTTGCTGTCATTACGGCTTTATTATCCAAACAATCGCAGGTTTGGACTAACAAACATCTATAAATCCTGTATACCTTATCTACATGCACTGTTCTTTATTTACTAGCTGTATCATGGCTTTAGTATTTTAAACTATTTGTTTTTCTTACCTACTGCCATGATAACCTGGTTTCTCAGGAAAAAGCTGTTTGGATTCCCTTGGGTCCTATTTTAGGCCTGGGAATTCAACAACACTTAACTAAGGGGGGCAGTGGCATTCCCTCATCTGTATAAGCTGACAGAGGGAATATGACATTATCAGAGTCTGAGAGAGCAGTCTGCCCTCGTGGTACAATCTGATGCGTGTGCACATCAAGGCACTGCTCTGCTTCACACTGAGATATTTGCTCATGTATGGGAGATGGAGTTATCTGTCTGCCTGAGTGGGAGCTACATCTCCTTGGTTTCTACTGAAAAGAGACAGAACAGATGGGAGAAGATGAAATGAAGAGCAGTGCATCTAATGGGGCTAACCTTTGCCAAAAAAAAAAAAAAAAAAAAAAAAGGAGGGGAACATACACCCATCATTTTAAAACCAGATAGAAATACAGAAATATTTATCCTGCTGGTACTGTTGCAAACTCATGGGTCCTGCAGCTCATCCTATCCAGCACAGATCTCAGGAGGAAGGGAGGACACCAAGAAAGACAAGTCTATATTGAAATTGGCATCAATCTGTAGCTTGTTCCCTCTCTCCAATCCTTAAATGAGTGGGGAAACAAAAGCACCTTATCCAGTTACGACTTGGAGCAGATGCCACCGCCTTTTTCTCTGAGTCATGGACATAAAAAAATCCTTGATTATGGCATGACAGAAAGCATGATTCACCTTAGATAAAAAGCTCTGGCTGAGCTGCCTGTGGCTAAAGAGCTATACAAGGCATGCAAGGAGCATGGCTCAGAGCAGAATACAAGAGCAGCTGCACAGCCTAAGCTGCCTGCTTGGCTCTGAAGCAAAGAGCTGGCACGAAGCAGCTGGGGCAACCCCGGCATGCTGGTGACACCTGCCCTGACGTAGGCTGTTAGCAGATTAATTCTGGGTACCCTGAGAGCATTGTTCCCACATGCCCTACCCATGCTCTGACAGGCAGACTGCCAATGGAGTGAAGTTTCAGAATCCCTTAAGCCTGACAACCATCTCAACAACCACGTGGATCTGTGGTTTTATAACCTGCCTTGACATGTGATTTCTTCACCTTATTAGCAGTTGATTTACTCACAACAAACTTGCCAAGTCTTAACACCTGCTAAGTGTTCAAGCCAGCTACATCTCTTAAGGTTTTTCCTGACAGGGGAAACAGATCTGTAGATTTTTGAAGGCTATGTCCAATCAGCTCTGCCTTTGCAGGATGGGGGTTAGGCACATGATGTACACAAAAGCTCAATGCCCCTTTTAATGCTTACATCTTGCTCCTCTGCCCCTTCTGTTATAGCTACAGATTGCAATGCCTACCCCTTCACCCTGGCATTTAGGGACTGTTGATCATCAGACTCACCCAGAACTGATGTGTAAGGGGATGAAGGATAGACAGAAGACACAATTACATACTTCCACTTTTACCCCTTCAATAACCATATTCACAAGCCAGTCTGAATACTTAAAGTTTGTGCCATTTGTTTAAGCACTACAAACAGCTTTAGGCACCTCTGCACTAAAGTATATTTCTGCTTGTGTGCAATTCCCTTCCCATGCTCCAGATCCTCATTTTCCCCAGGCTTGGTGTTTTGTCCATACACATGTACTTGTGCCTCAGTGGCATTGAACAAACTCATCACTGTGTAGAAGTGAGCTTCTTTGTACCTGTCAAGCAAATGCATGCATCATTACCTGATGTCAGCAGCGAGATGTCAACAGTTTGTGTGACAGGAGTTGAACTTGCAACAGACTTCATGGTACTGCAAAATGTACTAATTCAGAACTCCGTACTCATCTGCTGCAAGATTTGATTGAAAGCCAGAAATCATCATTCCTTCCAGCTACATCTCCCTGAATGCAAGGGTCCTATATCAGCTGAGTTGCAATGAATAGAATGTCTTAGAACTACTCTTGCTGTTAGAATATTTGTGACTTTAGCCCATACAGCTAAATCAGTGCATTCAAAATCAGTGCACTGGGAAGATTTTTACAGAAAGACAGTTAGCAACTTCGAAAGCATCCTCCCATATTCTCTTTACCATGAATGTCAAAAGGGTCAGTCCCCTGTCATGTTTCACCTATTACTTCAGATGCTGAAGTGGTACAGTCTCAGAAGGTCAACAATGACCACAGTACATGTAGATAGTCTCAGGGAACAACATAATAAACACAGCTAATCCTCCTGCACAACCTGTGCACTGTAAATATTGTGACAGTAATTGTGTACTTGAGAAAAGAATAGCAGGTAGCTTTTGCTCATAAAAAATTATTGACTTCAGTGATGCAATGTAGTATTAATACCAGAAACAAAGTTAAACCCAAAGATCTTACCATCACAGTGAAACTAGTTTACTCAAATATAAAATGTGTCATATGAAAGTCCTCCTTTTTAATAATACTTCCTAAATTAAATGGATTTGAATAATCAGTAGAAAATCATAATTATGCAATAGTACATTAAATGTATATTTCTTTTCATGAGCTAACAGGTCCTTAACTCTAAATTGGCAGTGAAGAAAAACAGTACACTCAGCAAGCACATTTAAACATGAAAGCTGGTAACATACAAATCTTAAAAGGACCACAGAAGAAATAAAGAACAGTTCATTGATCATGTCAGATGCCCTCTGGAAAAAGTAGGAATTATCAAGCTTTAAGCTCCTATTCCCATTAGACAGCTGTTTCCAGTTTTCTGTAGCAGGATGACTTGTGGATTTTCCCTATTTTTTTGCTGCATACTAACCTAGGCAGTGGTCTTACAGCAAATCGGGATGTGTCATTCATAGAAATACACATTTATTTGAAAAATTTTGCAAGTACAGTTCTGTAGAGATAACTCTTTAGTAAACTTGTCTCATGAATTATACTACCTGAGCAAAAATAAGGCAACAATAACAATAACCCAAATGAAGTGCAATGAAATTATCTGAAACACCACCCAACTTCTTCAAGAGGCATTTGTGCATCCATATAAAACTATGTGATGCCAAAAATCAAGCTTTCTATTTGCAGGCAAAGTACCATCTGGCAGGAGGCACACTAAGCATACTCCTCCATACCCCTCACCTCATAAACAGTAGAATTATAAATTTTATCTCTCTGATATATTAATTCAATTTACATTGCTCAACCAAAAGAGGACTCCCAAGTGCGATCATATGGGCAATGGAAAAGTGGCAGCTTATGAAGCAAATAACTAAGTCAACTC